TTTCAACTCTAAACATTAAATACAAAAATTAATGCTCTTCCACTTTAGTACATTCCCTAAGGAACGAAATAAATTTAAATTTATTCCATGTTGTTATCCAATCGTAACCACTGTTACTCAAAGGGCAGTCGGTTGAATGTTTTTTTGATCGCAGGTTCAATACTTTTCAGAACAGATACTAACTTATTAATTTAATCATTTTTTCTGTAAAAAAAATAAATAAATAAATTTAAATTTCATCCAAAACTTGAATTTTTTTTATCTCGATTGTATAATAAAAGATAATCATTTTTTATTTATTATTTCATTTTACCTACATATCATACGATTTGAATTTAAAATTTTTTATTTGTAACAGTAAAAAATAACTATTAAACTATTTAAATTATTTACTTCAAAACTCACATCTTAACCTAATTAACAACACATTATCAGAACCAATTATCTATATGTGTGAAAATTTGAGAGAATTTATCGAAGATGGTCAAGTGGTCGTCACTTTCAAGCCAAAACCCCAAAACCCATAGTTTTGCACGGAGACCCAAATGCCTAGTATTTTGATAGAATCTACTGCAAAAAAGAGACACCTGTGCCCTGCAAATGACGATACCAATCTACTTCCCCTTCAATATTTTAAAACTTAGGTTTTCTGCGACCTATTAGTATTTTAGTCAAATTGCTAATTCCCAAAATAAACAAAAAACCTTTCCTTACCCCAATTATTTAATTAAATTCACCCTTTTAATCCCCTTCTCTGACTCTACCTTCAATTGACATGGACTCACTCTAAAATATATTAATTCAAGATTTAAATCTCTTAATTTAAATAATAATTCTTCTACGACGAAACCAGTTCACGTCCGGCGACGACACATGTCTAGCAGCCGAATATTCCCCCTTTCCTTTGATTTTGTACTTTTATTAAAAAGTAATATTCTCATATCCATACCACCTACCAACACTAAAAAGACGTATTGTTACACTAATTTTTTTTTTTTTTTCCATTTACGAAGTTGGTCTTAGTTCTGCTTTCACATATTTTAAGAATAATCTTGTTTTAGTGATCTTAAGATGCATCTTCAGAATATTATAAAATGACACTTACTAATAAATCTAAGCTTTAGCATTTATTAAGTTAAAGAGTCACTTTATTAAAAAAAATTTATTAAAAAAGTGATTATAAAAGTATTGCATAGAAAGTTCAAAATATTGTACAAAAAGTTGTTAAATTTTATAAAGTTAAATTTTATAATGAAATTTTATTAAAATTTAATTAGTTTATTAATTTTATTGTGTTTAGTAAAAAATTGATATAAAAAAAAGTTAATAGAAAAAATTATTAAATGAGTTCAGTATAAAGAAAGTATAGAAAAACTCTTTTATTTCAAAATAGGTAAAAAAAACTTTATCGATTGAGAATTGTGTTAATAAAAATAAAAATTAAAAATATCACTTTTACTCTCTCTTTTTTAATATTCGTGTGAAAACATATAAATAATTTTATAAAAACATTTAAAAAAATGTAAAAAACGTTAATTTTTTTTTTTAAAAGTAACTTGAAAATCAACCACCCTTAGAGTTTTACCACTAAATTATTAAGCTCACACTAAAGTAACTTTTAAAAGTTCTTTTTAACAATTTACCTATATTATCACTAGTCAGCCTAACTAGTATTTTGCAATTTAAATTTAAAAACTAACAATGAGATTAAGCGAGTATGCTTTTATAATTGTAGACTCACTAATATGACTGTTTTTATGATCCAATGATAAGGTTGATAGGTAATTTTAGTGTGGCCTTCACAATGTGTGACAATATATTTCCCATACGTATGTCTATGCAAGTAATCTTAAACTTTTCACCATGAATTGGTTCAAATGAAAAAAAATTGTTTCTTTTTAAATAAAATTTTAAATTAAAATTTTATTTTAAAAAAATTCTTCTTATGAGATCCCATTAAAAAAAAAAAAGGGTTTCAGCTTTTCAAAATTTCAGTTTCATTTTGACAAAAGCTTTAAATACAAAGGCTTTAATTTAAGAATATGATGTGACATTTTTTTAAAATTTTTTCTTTTTCATTTAAGAGTCACATATAAATTGGTAATAAATATATTAATCTAATATCTTAAAATATTGTAAAAAATTATAATAAAAAAAATACATATACTAGCATTAACGGATCAAGTAATATACGCATCATGTACGAAAGATAAAATGCAATGGCTGATAAAAACTATATAAAATGCAATGTTATTTATTTATCGTTAAGATAATTGCTTGTGTTATTTTTCAGTATTTAAAGTATTTCGATAATGATTAACACTACTATAAGATGATTTCCCTTTTTATTATTGTTAAAGGGTCGCTATCGAGGTTAAAATTATGATTCGAATTTTAAGAAACATTGTCGACATCATTGACCAATAATATCAATCTTGTCCACTTTTTTCTTTAATTATCTTTTTGGTAAAAACTTTTTAATTATTTGATTACGCTCCATTAAGTTTTCAATTATTAATTAATAGATCTTTATCATTTTTATTTTTAAAAATATAATAAATATATTTTTTATTATAAATTAATATAAAAGTTAATGCAATTAATCTTATTTTTAAAAAATAATTAGAATATTAATTTATATTTTTTTGTTAAATATTAATATTTAAATTTAAAAACTTATTATATATTTTAATATAATAAGTTTTTAAATTTAAATATTAATATTATATAATAAGTTTTTAAATTTAAATATTAATATTTAATAAGATAATTTTTTAAAATTTAAATTAAATAAAATGACATAATTTAAAATTAAAATTTTAATTTATTTTAAAATTTGAGATTAATATATATTTTTTATTAATGTATATTAAAAACTAAAAATTAATTTTTAATTTATTAATTATTTAATTAAATTTATTAACATAATAATAACTTATTTTTATATTTTTATTCAATACTTTGATAAAAAAAAATATTCTTATGTACACGGAAGTTAAAAAACCTTAATTAATTCATTATGAAAAAAAAAAAAAAGGGAAGAAAAGAGTCCAGTGGCGCGAAAATCGTTGTCCCGAGCGATTGCTACGCCTCACGCCATTGGCTACACGTCGGACCCCCTCTGAAACCGAAATCCCCATTTTTCTCACCTCTTTTTCAGCCACTACTTCCCCGTCACTTCCACATCCCCCCACTCTCTTTCTCCACTACTGTCTCTTAATTCAGTTAGAGATGGTACTGTACGACTCCTCCGCCTTGTCAGCGGGGAGCGGCGGTGGCAGCGGCAACTCCTCGTCCTCCTCTTCCAAGCATCCGCAGACGGATATTGATGGGTTGCTCGCCGGTGCGGGATACAAGGTCCGGTCATCGGAGTTGACACAGGTGGCTCAGCGGCTTGAGAGATTGGATACTGCCATGGTTAACTCTCCCGCTGATTTCACTCAGCTCGCTTCCGATACCGTCCACTATAATCCCTCCGATCTAGCTTCCTGGGTTGACTCGCTTCTCTCCGAGTTCACTCACACGTCCGCACTTCCCGCTGATGGACCGGGTTTTCTTATAGATCCAGGGGTTAATCAGACGGTGCCGAATAGCTCCTGGAATGATCAGAGCGCGCCGCAGATTCGGCGAAATGTTTGTTTTGAGCAAAATCAGAATCATCAAGTGACGGTTGTAACGGCCATGGAAGAGGATTCGGGGATAAGGTTGGTACACTTGATGATGACGTGTGCGGAGTCCGTCCAACGTGGGGACCTGGGAATGGCTACTTCTTTCATTGAGGATATGCAGGGGCTGTTAATGCGTGTTAACACCGTCTGCGGCATCGGGAAGGTGGCGGGGCATTTTATCGAGGCGTTGAGTCGCCGGATTTTCCAGGTGGTTGGTCATATCAGCGGCAGCTCCGCTTACGAGAACGAGATTTTGTACCATCACTTTTACGAAGCATGTCCGTACTTGAAATTTGCTCACTTCACGGCGAATCAAGCGATTCTCGAGGCTTTCGACGGTCACGATTGCGTACACGTGGTGGATTTCAATTTGATGCACGGATTACAATGGCCGGCGTTGATACAGGCTCTCGCCCTTCGTCCCGGCGGGCCGCCGTTTCTCCGATTGACAGGCATTGGACCGCCGTCTCCAGATGGCCGCGACTGCCTCCGCGAGATTGGTTTACGGCTCGCCGAGTTGGCTCGCTCCGTCAACGTCCGCTTTGCTTTTCGCGGCGTTGCGGCTGCTCGGCTGGAGGATGTTAAGCCGTGGATGCTGGAGGTTAGTGCCAACGAAGCAGTTGCCGTGAACTCAATCATGCAGCTCCACCGGTTACTTGGATCGGACTCGACGCGGAACAGTCCGATAGAAACGGTTCTCGGATGGATCCGAGAGTTGAACCCGAAAATTATGACGGTCGTCGAACAAGAAGCCAATCATAACCAGCCCGCCTTTCTCGATCGGTTCACGGAGGCTCTGTATTACTACTCAACGATGTTCGACTCTCTAGAAGCCTGTCCGCTTCAACCGGCGAAGGCTCTGGCTGAGATATACATACAGAGGGAAATTTGCAACGTAGTAAGCTGCGAGGGACCGGCTCTGGTCGAACGGCACGAACCGCTGGCTAAGTGGAGGACACGGCTGGCCGGAGCCGGATTCCGGCCCTTGCATTTAGGTTCCAACGCGTTTAAACAAGCCAGCATGCTCTTAACTCTGTTCTCTGCCGAAGGCTACTGCGTGGAGGAGAACGAAGGGTGCTTGACCCTGGGCTGGCACAGCAGGCCGCTCATAGCAGCCTCCGCCTGGCAAGCCGCCCCTGACGGGGCCTCAGAGGTCGGACTCATCAACGGCGGTGGTAATATTAACAATAATGACGCGCTGTAAATTAGTTCTTATTTTTGGGTAATTTTTTTTTTTCCAAAGCTAGTAGCTGCAGTGATTTTGGATGAAATTTGAGAAGTACATGTTCCTAAATATTTACGAGGTTTAGTCACCTGTTCATGCAATATTTGGTGTCTGAAAATGTGTACTGTGGCACATACAAACATGTCATCAGATTTCCCAGAAACTACTATGTTGTTATGCATATTTAGCTACTAATCACCACTCACAAGATTCCTAACTAAGGACATTTTTTTAAGGTAAAATTGTACGAACCAAATCTCTAAACAGGAACCATGAGAAGGTAAACCTGGTGCTTAGCTGGGCACCCTAGAGCGCAGTTTCCGCTCGCGAGTTCAAACCCCACTGTTGATACTCACTCATTGCCAATCAGGCTAATCCCTCTCTGGTTGCCACTGAAACCGAAACTTATAATCGTAGGAGCTTTTTGTTTTAAAATTTCTTAATAGTTTTTGATTCCATCGGAATGGTTAATGAAATACTTTTATCTATAAATTATTATTATTATTAATTGTCAAATATTAACTATAGTGTTTGAACAATTCCAAAGCACTCCATTAACTATTAGCTTGGGGCGTAGCTCTCAGTTTTTTCACTGCACTCGAGATCGATCTTATTGGCATTCAAGACAGATTAAATTAGAAAAATGTCTCGTTTATAGAAAAAGGTCGTTTAAATTGCTGAGGGTGTGTAATATTCGTTTTCTAACAATTTCCAAAGAGGGAATTTCTTGAGAGCGGGGACTGTGAGGTTTATGAGTGCTACTTGGGACCAAACATGAGAGCTGGGTGGGATGTAGTATGGTTCTCCATCGTATGATCATTGTGGCTGGCAAGAAATGCAAAGATTTTCAGGAACCAAAAACAAGAGACTGACAGAATTTTTGAGCTCGTTCGATTAAGAGCCTTCAATTGGATCAAGGGCAGGACAACGTGCTACTCTTTCACCTTTCATGATTGGATGCTGGAACCTGTCTTATGTCTTAAAGATAAAAGAGGTACACATTAAGTTTTACCTCCATGATATGTAGGTTGTTGTTATTGTTTCTTAGTGGTTGTTTGACTGTGGCTGCCTTTTCGCTGGAATATGTCCCTAGTCTTATGTTAGCTGGTATTTATCTTGGTATTTTGTTATCTTGCAAGGTCGGATGATTTTGCCATTGAGCAGTCAGTTGACTTTGGCTAATTTATGCAAGCTGAAGTCAGTGGATGCTCAGTGATAAT